ATTTATAACTTCAAGTCAACAGGACTGCAATGGGTACCCTCATGGCCCCTCAATATGCCAACATTTTTATGGCTGACTTAGAACAACGCTTCCTCAGCTCTCGTCCCCTTACGCCCCTACTCTACTTGCGCTACACCAGGGGTTCTCAAACTGGGGTCAGAACCCCTCAGGGTGTCGCAAGGTTATTACATGGGGGTCACGAGCTGTCAACCTCCAACCCAAACCCCGCTTTGCCTCCAGCATTTAAAATGGTGTTAAATATATTTTAAAAATGTTTTTAATTTATAAGGGGGGGGGGGGTCGCACTCAGAGGCTTGCTATGTGGAAGGGGTCACCAGTAAAAAAGTTTGAGAGCCACTGCGCTACACTGATGACATCATCATCTGGACCCATGGGAAGGAGGCCCTTGAGGAATTCCACCTTACCATCAACCTCAGCCTGGACCAGTCCACACAAGAGGTCCACTTCCTAGACACTACAGTGCTAATAAGCAATGGTCACATAACCACCGCCCTATACCGGAAACCTACTGACCGCTATACTTACCTACATGCCTCCAGATTTCATCCAGACCACATCACATGATCCATTATCTTCAGCCAAGCTCTAAGATACAACCATATTTGCTCCGATCCCTCAGACAGAGACAAACACCTACAGAATCTCTATCAAGCGTTCTTAAAACTGCAATACCCACTTGGTGAAGTGAGGAAACAGATTGACAGAGCCAGAAGGGTACCGAGAAGTTACCTACTACAAGACAGGCACAACAAAGAAAGTAACAGAACGCCACTAGCCATCACCTACAGCCCCCAACTAAAACCTCTCCAGCGCATCATCAAGGATCTACAACCTATCTTGAAGGACGATCCCTCACTCTCACAGACCTTGGGAGAAAGACCAGTCCTCACTTACAGACAGCCCCCAAACCTGAAGCAAATAGTCACCAGCAACTACACACCACACAACAAAAACACCAACCCAGGAACCAAACCCTGCTACAAACCCTGATGCCAACTCCGTCCAGATATCTATTCAAGGGACACCATCCTAGGACCTAATCACATCAGCCACACCATCTGGGGCTCGTTCACCTGCACATCTACCAATGTGATATGCCATCATGTGCCAGCAATGCCTGTCTGCCATGTACACTGGCCAAACCGGACAGTCTCTACGCAAAAGAATAAATGAACACAAATCTGACATTAGGAATCATAACATTCAAAAACCAGTAGGAGAACATTTCAATCTCTCTGGTCACTCAATAACAGACCTCAAGGGCAATTCTTCAACAAAAAAACTTAAAAAACAGATTCCAACGTGAAGCTGCAGAACTGGAATTAATATGCAAACTAGATACAATCAGATTAGGCCCAAATAAAGACTGGGAGTGGTTGGGTCATTACAAAACATAAATGTAATTTCCCCAATACTAATTTCTCCCTACTGTTACTCACACCTTCTTGTCAACTGTCTGTAATGGGCCACTCTCTTACCACTTCAAAAGTTATTTCTCCTCCCTTGGTATCCTGCTGTTAATTGATTTATCTCATTAGACTGACTTAACACTTGGTAAAGCATCCCCATCCTTTCATGTATTTATACCTGCTCCTGTATCTTTTACTTTATACATCTGATGAAGTGGGTTCTAGCCCATGAAAGCTTATCCCCAAATAAATCTGCTGGTCTCTAAGGTGCCACAAGGACTCCTGTTTTTTTTTTTTTTGCTTATGCAGACTAACACGGCTACCACTGAAACCCATACCGTTGTTCACTCCCAGCTTCTGGCAATCAGAGACAAGGGACACCCTGACCATCTTGGCTAATAGTCATTGATGGACCTATCCTCCATGAACTAACCTAATTCTTTTTGGAACCCCATTATAGTTTTGCCCTTCACTACATCCCCTGGAAATGAGTTCCACAGGTTGACTGTCCATTGTATGAAGAAGTATTTCCTTTTGTTTTAAACCTGCTGCCTATTAATTTCATTGGGTGACCATTTATTTATTTATTTATTATTATTATGTAAGGAGTAAACAATGCTTCCTTATTCACTTCCACATCATTCACAATTTTCTAGACCTCTATCATATTCCCCCCTTAGTCATCTCTTTTCCAAGCTGAAAAGGCCCAGTCTTTTTAATCTCTCCACATATGGAAGCTTGATCATTTTTGTTGCCCTTCTCTGTACCTTTTAAAATTCTAATAAACCTTTTTTGAGATGTGGTGACCACAACTGCACGCAGTATTCAAGGTGTGGGCGTACCATGGAAATATATAGTGGCACAATGATATTGTGTGTCTTATTAGCTATCCCTTTGCTAATGGTTCCTAACATTGTTAGCTTTTTTCACTGCCGCTGCACATTGAATGGATATTTTCAGAGAACTACCCACAATAACTCCAAGATCTCTTTCTTGAGTGCTAACGGCTGATTTAGATCCCATCATTTTTAAGTATAGTTGGGATTATGTTTTCCAATATGCATTACTTTGCATTTATCAACATTACATTTCATCTGCCAATTGGTTGCCCAGTCACCCAAGTCTGCCCAGTCTGAGATCCTTTTGTCTGCTTTGGATTTAACGATCTTGAGTAATTTTGTACCATCTGCAAATCTTGCCACCTCATTGTTTACCCCTTTTCCCAGATCATCTATGAATATGTTGAACAGCACTGGATCCAGTATAGATCCCTCCATTCTGAAAACTGACCATTTATTTCTACCCTTTGTTTTCTTTTAGCTGGTTACTGATCCACAAGAGGACCTTCCCTCTTATCCCATGACTGCTTACTCTGCCTAAGAGCCTTTGGTGAGAGACCATGTCAAAGGCTTTCTGAAAGTCCAAGTACACTGTATCCACTGGATCACCCTTGTCCAAAGAATTCTAATAAAGATTGGGGAGATATGCTTTCCCTTTACAAAAGCAGTGTTGACTCTTCCCCGACAGATTGGGAAACACTGACATAAATGAACACAAACTTGGGGTGCTGCTTGTGTAGGGAAAGCCCGTAGCGGGCCAGGCCGGTTTGTTTACTTGCCGCGTCCGCAGGTCTGGCCGATCGCGGCTCCCACTGGCCGCGGTTCGCTGCTCCAGGCCAATGGGAGCTGCTGGAAGTGGCGACCAGTACGTCCCTCGGCCTGTGCCGCTTCCAGCAGCTCCCATTGGCCTGGAGCAGTGAACCGCGGCCAGTGGGAGCCAGACCTGCGGACGCGGCAAGTAAACAAACCGGCCCGGCCTGCCAGGGGCTTTCCCTACACAAGCGGCATACCAAGTTTGGGAAACACTGATCTAAGTGTCTGGTAATTCAATATGGGTCTAGTTGTCTCAAGTTAGGCAAAATAATTTGAAAATTTGGTCCCTGGGTTGCAATCCTGAGGAGGTCTTTGATGCGTGCAAAAGGCACTACACAGTATCAAATCAGTAACAATGAAAAAATGAAAAGTTTCTGAATAATGCTACCAAGAAATAAGTAATGAAAATGCTTCTTACATTGGGCCTCAAGATTTGGTGAGCTCTGACTTTGATTGTGGACTCCCACAAGATGCATATTCTTGATTATTTACATCTTCCTCTGTGTGTCTCTTCATGTCTTCCACTGGTTGGCTATGTTTGTCTTCCTTCCTTTCTATATGTGTTTGCTGAACCATATATTTCTCTTGGGTGGCCACAGTCTGCCCCGCTTCTTTTTCCTTTAGCTTTGGTTGGTCTGTTCTTGTCTCTTTGGATAAGTCTTCTGAAACACTCATATCTATCGCTGATTTTTGAGCCCCTAAACTTTCACTTGAAACATCTTCAGGGACAGCTACAATCTTTCCTGAATCCTGAATTTCTCCCTCTTTTGACATATCAGAAGTTAATGGCACATCTTCTGTTTGTTCGAGAGTAGCTTGTTTCTCCGCAGACTGTGTTACAATAGTATGTTTGACTGTACTTGGTTGCTGGAACTCTCGTTCTTTACCCTCTATTGTCTTTTCACCTTTTACGAGAAGCTGCTGATGAGCCTGTACACTTTCCTGAACTTCAGCTCTATTTATACCGTTTTGACTTCCGTCTGTTGATTCAATCTGCTGCTTTGATTCAGATGCCATGCACACAGCAGCTGGCTCTTCTGTTCTTTCAAGTTTTTCAACGACAGTCTGAATGATCTTTAATACAATTTTTGTACTCTGAGATTCTATAGTGACAGACTGAACATCTTTTACGAATTCTACGTGGGTTAGAGATGGGCTTTCTTTATCTTGAGAAACTATTTTTTCCCCAGCTTCTTCCCTACACTCTGGCTTCTGTTGCTCCTTCCCCTGGGTTGCGTCATCCACGTAATCTTTTTGGACCAAATCAGGTTGTGTACAGCTTGTTGCTTCCTCAGTCATTCCATCCACCATTGCAGCGGTCATCTCTGATACGGACAGTGTTGCAGTTTCTTCACTCCTACTGTCTGCAGCCTCAACTCCTGAATGAGCAATGGTAATATCTTGGACTAGTTCAGAAAATAGTTTTTCAGGCACTGCTGCTAAAGACTCTAAAGTTTCAGCTGAGGTTTCCATAGATGTTACAGTTTCTGCAATGATTTGTTCTTCAACTGCTGCAGCTGTTACAGGCACATATGCTTTTTGAGCCTCAGAGCTTTCAATAGTAGGAATGGGTGAGCCAGTATCTTCCAGCTGCACAGCTAAAATCTCTTGCTGCACTGGAGTTGAATAAAGTTTATCACCGCTTGCAAGTTCCAATTTTCCAGGTTCAAACAAATCTTTTTCCACTTCCGTCATTAGCTCAAACTTGGTTTCCTCTTGCTGATTGTCATTTGAACTTGTCACAGTCAATAGAAGTGTTTGTTTTGCTTCCATGGGCTCCTCTTCATCTCCCTTTCCATACACAGGCAGTTCTTTAGGATGTATGTCACTCTGTAGAGGGGCCCCATTTACAACTGCCCCCGGGTATTCTGATTCTAAGTTAGATGGCGCATCTTCTACATCATTCTGCATGGGAGCCTCAGTTGCAACCGCTTCAGTGCGTTCTGATTCTAAGGTAAGCACAGCATCTTCTACCTCTCTCTTCACAGGTGCCTCAGTTACCCCACTCTGCATGGCGTCCCCAGTTACAACTGCCTCTGGACATTTTGATTCTAAGGAAAGCAGGGCATCTTCCATCTCACTCTGCATAGGGATCTCAGTTCCCTCACTCTTCATGGCGGTCTCCATTGCAGTGATTTCTGTGCATTTTGATTCGAAGGTAAGCATGGAATCGTCCACCTCATTCTGCACTGTGGCCTCCTCAGTTACCTCACTCTGCACAGTGACCTCAGCAGCAATTGCTTCTGTGCATTCCGATTCCAAGAGAAGCACGGCATCTTGCACCTCAGTTTGCCTGGGAGCCTCAGTTGCAAGTGCTTCTGTGCATTCTTTTTCCACAATACGCGCAGCATCTTCCACCCCACTCTGCACAGCGGCCTCAGTCACATCACTCTGCATTGGAGCCTCAGATGAAACTGTTTCAGTGCATTCTGCTTCTAAGATAAGCACGGCACCTTCCACCTCTTTCTTCACAGGAGCCTCCGTTACCTCACTCTGCATCAACCCCTCAGTAGCAATTCCTTCCACCTCACTCTGCACGGTGGCCTCAGTGCCCTTTGATTCCAAGGTAAGCATAGCATCTTGCCCCTCACTTTGCACAGAGGCCTCAGTCACATCACTCTGCACTGGAGCTTCAGTTGCAACTGCTTCAGTGCATTCTGATTCTAAGATAAGCATGGCATCTTCCACCTCTTTCTTCTCAGGAACCTCAGTTACCCCACTCTGCCCAGGGGCCTCATCTACAAGTGCTTCTGTACATCTTGGTTCTAAGGCCTCCCTGGCATGTTCCCTTTCACTCTGCACTGGGATGTCAGTCCCCTGACTCTGTATGGGGGACTGAGCTGCAGTTGCTTCTGTACGTTTTGATTCCAAAGAGAGCATGGCATCTTCTGTCTCATTCTGCAAAGGGGCTTCTGTTACAGTTACTTTCATGCATTTTGATTCTAAGTTAGGCACCATGTCCACCACTTGCTTAAATTCCTGGGACAGCTCAAGCTTTGCTTCATGTGTTTCACTTTCAGATCCATCCACTTCTGGAGCACCTTCATCTGTGATTTCACCTGGAATTATTACTTTTAAATTCACTTTGGCCTCTTCAGTTGAAATTTCTTGTTGTTTTACTACTGTAACATACTCAGCTTTCACTTCATGCTCTGCCTTGGTAGTTATTGTGACACTACTGTAACATTCCTCCTCTTTCAATTTACATTTCTCTAGAATCCTTTCTACTTCAGACGTTTTTTCATGTCTTTCTATAAATGCTTGTTCAGTTTCTTGCCATTGACTTTCATCTGCCAATCTATCCAGACTTTTAGCTTCTTCTGTGTGTTCCTTCATCACTGCACACTTTTCACTCATCTCTGACACTTCCTGTAGAACGCTTTCGTCAGCTTCATTTTTGCCTCGAACCGTTCCTGCACTTTCTATGTGTTGAATGTCAGCCTCTTCAGGTTCTTCTTTCTTTAAGGACTGTTCAACCAACTCAGTTTCTTTGCATAGGACTGTAACTTCATCTTTCATTTCAGATCCAATTTTCTGCACTGACTGAATTATGACTCCAGTCACAGTTCTTTCACTAATCATCTGTACTTCATCTGATAGCTTCACTCTTTCTACAACTTCCTCAAGAATTTCCTGTGTTTGTTTATTTAATTCTTCTAAATTTTGCTCAGTCCCTTCTATCTCCTGTACAGGTGTAACTTCTTCTGTAGTGTCTGGGGATTCAGTTAACTGTGACACTGCAGAAACCATCTCAGTTGTCTCCTCTGCAAGGGACACTTCTGTTGCTTCTTCACCACAGGAAACTTCTGTTGCCTCTTCCAGTGCTGTCAATGCTTCTGAGGTTAACTCCAGCTCACTTACTATAGTATCATCACTAATGTCCTTTCTCAACTCTGGCAAAGTTTTAGAAACCACCACTGTCTTTTCTACAACAACTTCAGTTTCAAATATCTGCTCAGTTTGTTCTTCATCATCTTTTTCCTGTTCAATGGACTCTGTCACAGTAGCAGATATCCAAGATGGTGACCTTTCTTCAATACTGGTAACTGCTCTCTCCCCCTCTACAACAGTCACAGTAACTGCATGAACCAGTCCTTCATTAAATTGCTCAATAATTAAGGTATCTTCTAATTTTTCAGCTCTCTTTTCATCTAAAGTTTCTTCCCTTATTGCCTCAGTTTGTGTTGCTTGTTGGGCCTCAATTTTCTCTTGTTCAGCTGCTTCATACTCAGATAAAGGAACAACAGCTGGAACATCAGAGTCTTCTTCATTGGTTTCTGTCATCTCTTCTCCAGCTTCCTCAACACAAGCTTGTTCTGGCTTCCCATCTGACTTTTTCTTCCGACGACCAGGTATTAATTTTTTAAATGAAACCCATGTTTCTTCTTTTCCAGGTTCACCATCTGAAGTAGAATGTTCTAGGCTGGAAACTAACACAGATTCTTCAGTTCTCTCTTCCATTTTGGTTTTGGATTTTCTTCTTGGAGTGACTAATCTTTTAAATGATTCCCAGGTTGAAACACCCTCTCCTTCAGATGGACTTCCAGCTTGTTCTGGTGAGGAACTTCCTTGTCCTTGATCACTTTCTTGGGAACTAGTTAGGATCGTGTCTGGTGCAGTTTCTTTGCTTTGGCCAACTTCATCTATTTTTTGGCCTTCTTGAGCAAGCCTCTGTCCTACTTCCTCATCAGAAGAGGAGGATTTCCTAGCTCTTTTCTTAGAGGAACCTACACAAATTAAGGCTTCCCATGATACAGAAGTATCAACCTTTCGTTTTGGCTCTTCTGTGCTTTTTTCTAGCTTCTGCTCCTCACCATTTACTTTAGTTTCTTCCTGAGTTTCAGAGACTGCACTTTCAGTAGAAGACAAGGTAGCACTCTTTGCCTTATCAATTTCCTCTTCTTTGTCACTTTCAGAAGGCCTTCTGACACGTTTCTTGGGAGTCACCATCTTTTTAAATGATGCCCAAGGAGTTACACACTCTCTTTTCCTCTCTACATCTGAAATTACTCCTTCTTCGGTTTCAGTGACCCGTGTTGCATCTATGGCTTTCTCCACAGAAGGAGGCTCTGTTGATTCTTCAGGTGAAGAGGCAGAGCTCTCTGCCTTCTGTTCTTCTGGACTTTCTGGGGAATCAGCTAAATGTTGAATTTGTTCTACTTGTTCCCCTGGCTTAGTTTCTTCTCTCTTTCCTTTATGCTTCTTTCCAGAAAGCTTCTTTAAGCCAGTTCCTGTAAAAAGTTTCTTTAAGGGGCTGCCTTGCACTTTGGCTCGCTCTTGTGATGACAACAGTTCAACCTCAGTCGTGATGCCTTCTGGAGGCTTACATGCTGCTGCATCTTCAGGGCTTGATTCTGTTTGCTTGATGTGGTCATCTACTACTATGCATACTGTTTCTTTGGCCTTTAGTTGTTCCTCAGTGGGTTGAATTCTTTGTAGCTCACCATCTCCTTCAACTGATTGTTCAGAAGCTGAGGAGAGCATTTGTTCTATCTCATTTGTTTTAACCTCTTTCGCCACTGTAGTGCTAACATGAACTTCTTCCTCTGTCTCTAACTTTTCATCAAAGATTTCAGTTGCCAGTGGAGCTTTTGGTTCAGGTTTCTCAGTGTTTTCATCAAACACTTCTGTTGTCATTGGAGCTACAGGTTCAGGTTCTTCTTTAGATTTGCCTTGAGGTTTTTCTAATTTTTCACCAAATATTTCCATGGTCGTGGGAGCTGGTTGTTCAGATTTCTCTTCAAAGTGTATTTCAGGTTTTGCTTCTAAGGATATTTTACATTCTTTCACTGGTTTTGGTTTTTCTTCAGGGGATAGGTCTACTTTTTCTTCAAAGGACACTTCAGATTCCTTGTTTACACTTTCAACGGTCTCTTGTGGAAGTGGCTGTTCAGAAGGAATAATAACTTCCTCCTTCAAACTTGCTTCTACTTGGATCTCTGCCACTTCCCTTTCTTGCTCTTCCTTTTCTTTCTCAGTTTTCTCCTTCTCATGTGCTTCTACTGGGATCTCTGCCACTTCCCTTTCTCGCTCTTCCTTTTCTTTCTCAGGAGTCTGCTGCTCATCTTCTTTAGGCTTCCTAAAACTTGTCTTTTTCCTAAACCCAGCCCAACCCTGAGTAAAGAATTTTCTTAGTGGTGATGCAGTTTCATTAACTAATCCATTTGTTGGAGACTCCGGTGACTTGCTAGGTTCTTTTTTTCCTTCTGCCTCTTCGTTTCCTTCAGCTTCCTCACTTGGGCTTTCTGCTACCTTTTCAGGAAGAGATTCATCTTTCCTTTCCTCACTCTTTGGTTCTTCTTCAATCTTTTCTGCAGGATGGGTCACTTCACTTTCTGTTGCTTCCTCCACCATTTCCAGCTTGACTTCTTTATGATCTCCAGCTCCATTTGCTGCCACTTCTGCTTCCTCTTTTTTTACAGTCAGTAGCTGAACAGGTTCAGACTTTTCAGTCTTATCTTTTTTAACAGTAAACTTGAAACCAACAAATTTAAAAACCTTTTTAAATCCAACATCATTAGACTGAGATTCACTGGGCTGTTCTAGCTCTTCTACTTTTTCTTCTTCTGATGGCAGCTGTTCATTAGCTTCTTGAACATCCTTCTGTCCGTCTTCCACATGATCCTTATCGGTTGATTCTGGTGGCATGGCTTCCATATTTTCAGCTAGCTCTTCTTTTACAGTCACATTCGCAGGTTCTCTTTGTCCAACTGTAAAAAAAAAAAAGAAAGTAAAAATCAGATAGAAACAAATTAGATTTACCATCTTAATTCACTAAATTATGTATTAAAATCGCTCAAAAGATAATACATACTTCAACTTTTAATACAGATATGAATTTACATTTTAATGTGATCTTGTAAAATATAAATTCCAGTAGTATGGTGGCACCTCTTAGGTCTGCTAATTAAGGGTTTATCAGCAGTTATTATAAACCTAGTTTCCCCTCATTTGTAAGAGGTGAAGAAAATCATATCTGGATTGGTCTTGTGCTTGACAGAAGGCTCATTCAGAACATTCTAGGCTCACTCTCATTCTTTCTGGGCAAGCGAAGTTCAGGAGTTTAAAACAAGTTCAATACTCAGGTTTTGTTTGGGTAACAGCTGTTCACTTCAGTAATGCCTCTACTTAGAAGATACACATGACATTAGTATTTTTTTCTGAAGCAGATGCTCAACCTCCTTCCCAGTTAGGAGAAGAGCATAGCATCAAGAATGAAAGCACCAATCCTGCAAACTCACCCTGAGATCTTCAAATCAAACTGGGTTCTTTCCTTTTCCACACATCGCCAGTATTTAAATGTTCTGACGGCTAGATCTTATCTACTCACCAGTACAACAGCTTATCAAATCAGTGAGGTTGCAGAGGTGTAAAAGAATATAGTTTGGCTTGCAGAATCGAAGCTGGTGAAGATACATGAGAAGGCAAGAACCCAGTTTTAATCTCAGATCCTAGCAGCTTTATCTCTGCTTACCTGCTTCCTGCCCCCATTAGACAGAGGAGTGCCCCAGTGAAGGCAGAGGACATCTGATTAAAAAAAATACAATAGTGTGGGGAGGGAAGGAAAAGAGAACAAGTACACTCCATCTGGTCTGTATTATGCACTCGATGTAATGCATGTCCTCTGGTGCAATGGTGCTGGTTATAGTATTGAGTGGAGGATAGCCCAGGATCTTCCTGTTCCCTACCACTCTCAGGTCCATGCGCAGGAGTGGGAGTACAAGCCCCAAGGAAGCTAGTCATTCCATCTCCCTCCCTGTGCAAGTATGGTAGAATGCAAGGGAATGCGGTGTCTTCCGCCCTCTTATTCCCCTGCACTGCCACACAAACAAATCACAATTTAGCTCTAAATAAAAATACAAACTAAAATGTTTATTTTCCCCTCCACAAGAGATTTTCCAGAGCCTTATAATTAACAAAAACAAAACAAACAAACAAAAAGTAAGATTTTCATCAAACATTTTAGGTTAGTTTCTACTTACAATGGACCTTTCTGCACCACATGCTGACACCTGCTTCTGTGCATGTCAGTCTCTGAGTCCCCCTTCCTGCTTTCCTACAGATCATCAAAGGGGGCAAATCTCATTACAGCTTTCCTGCTAAGAGCATTTGGCCTGTAGGTGGAGACAGTTTAGTTTATGCCTTACATAGTGTACAATCAGAATTCTAATAGGCACTATAGTCTTTCTGGATGAGCGCCAGGGTTCTTGATTTATATAGTACATTATAAATTGTTTTGGCAAAATGTGCAAATGACTGTGTCCTTATTAGTATATTGCCAGTACGGTTAGCAACAACCCAAGGGAGACAGCAGTTGTGAACTTAAATGCAGTGTATGCACTCTAATGTTTAGACCATAAGATTATAATGCTACCTAATGGCCAAATGCACTTAGCAGGAAAACTAAAATGAAACTGAGGGGAGGGGGGACTGGAATGTAAGTAACAGGAAAAGCTCAGACTCCAAAACACACACACAAGAAATGAATGAAGGAATGCATTGTGTTCCACTCACAACTAGTGACTTATGACAGTTAAAATGATTGAATTCCATATAATCAACATAAGACCTTGTGCTGACCCTGCTGTTGCTATATGCGGACAATACCAACTTACAGCTATTTTGCTTTGAAGAAACACAATCGCACAGAGTAAGTTGCAAACAACAAATGTCAACCCTGGTCCTCCAATCAAATACAGACTGATAGATCCTTGCACCTGTGAAGAGCAACTGGCTTCACTGGGGCAGGAGTGTCACAAAGGTTTACCCGTCTGCATCCAATTGTAGGATCGGGGTTATATTGTATAAAACTCACTCAAATAATGAATCTATGAAACTTCCAACAGTTTAACCCTGAGAGAGGGCCTTGGCGCTCATATCCAAGAAGGATCAATGAATTTTGAAGGTATTTTTAAAAAGTGAACTAGCTCAGAATATTTCATAGTAGTAGCATGTTGATATTATTTGTATTCATTAAGGTAGTTCTGTAATAACTCTCATGAGATGAAAATGAAAATACTATGTAAGAGACAATAAGATAAGCAAATGTGTTGTATTTATGTGCGCACACAACTATATAAAAGTTAGTCACTGGCAAAGAAAAATTAAAGCAAATATAGAAATAGTTACAAGGAATTCTATTTTTGGAAGAAGTTCATATTTTATTATCTGAATTAACTATACATTTTTGTTTTTAACTTATTTCATGACTACAGTAGGGTTGCCAATTTTGGCTGGAAGTATTCCTGGAGGTTTCATCATGACAATCTTTAATTAAATATTAAATCTTTATTTCTGGAGACTCCAGGACAATCCTGGAGGGTTGGCACCCTAGACTACAGGGAAAAAAACCATCCAAAAACCTGGCAATTAGACCCTTATATTATCTCTGCAGTTTACTGTATACAGAAACTATAGCACTAGGCTAAAGTGAAAAATAAAAAGCACCATATGAACCCATAATCCTAGAAGAACATACTAATTAAGTCAAATATGTAAGTGTTAAATCATAGCTAATCTGGTGGCTCAAGTATAATACTCTATTATTAGGGAGGCCCAAACTGAAGCCTGCTTGTAATGGGATTTAGGAAAGTGTCAGAGACATGAAGAAAGTTCTTAACCTTTAGAGAAGATTTACAGGTAAATTATAATTATCACTCGTAGGATAGTCATTGCTTCTAGCATTGATTACTGGGAATTTTTCCAGCTGGAATTCTAAAACTGTTAACTGCTAGAAGTGGTAGTTATACAAATTACATTCTTTATTTTTATAGTATGTTGAGAGGGAGGTTTTATTTGCTTGTAGTCTGCCATTGTTTCCACACCCACATTCATTAATTTCTTAAAATAATGTGAAAGGAATAAAATGAAAAAGATATCTGAAAGCTAAATGACAAAATCTGACCCTGGAGAAGGTGAGCTGAGTTATCGCATCATAACTAACTACTGCAACTAAGAAAATTATTTATCTACACTGCTTGTTCTCTGAAGGTAAATTACGTCTGACTCCTGGAAACGCAAAACTTCCAGAAGTTATTTTGTGGAGATTAACTAGAAAAAATGGGCCTTGTATAGTCATTTATACTAGTGTAAAGTGGGTATAACACAGAATCATGCTGTTTGAGTAAGTATTTTGCACGAGAGGAAATGATTATTCAAGGTGTTGGACACTAGTGTACAGCATACACAAAGAGATGCTGGCTTCAAATTTTTAAACACAATATGACAGCATTGGCATAAGTTGCAAAAACTCCACCACCCCCTAACCCCCAAAATCCATCAAAGACACCATAGCAACATTTAAATATCTAATAGACAGGACAGTCAGAGCACTCCCAGCTTTACTTGGAAGGGTCAAATTTGGTTTCTTGCTAGGAGATTGAATTCAAGTAATAATGCTTTCAAGTATGCAGAGAAATCAGCCTAGTGGGGTAAGGCAGATATTCTAGGTAGGAAGCAGGCATTTCTCTTATTCAGCATGCCTTAATATGACCTTGAAGCTGTAAGCATGCCAGGGAGCAAAATGAGAGATGCAATTAGACCAATGCTTCAACTGAAGACAGGGAAGTAGTAGTGACTCTGCTCTCCTTCCTACCCACTGGGGCTGCAAGTGACTCAAAGTTTATCTTTTCCCACCCTCAATCTCCCCTTCAGAGCTGTAACCACTCTTCCCCCCTCATTTTGCTTTTATTTTCCAACTTTAAAAACATTCTCTTTTCCAATCACCTCAACTTTAAAAACTAAATTAAATTCAAATTCTGAAGATAGCTTAATTTCTCCACCTTTACAGCAAATGTCAGTTTGCTGGACTTGGTATGAGGGGTAGTTCTGGCTCGTCACTACTGTCATGGTCAGTAGCGTGTACCTCTTCCTGCTCCTCTCAGATATCATCCCAACAATACCTACTTCCTCTCCCCACTTCTACACCATCAGCTACATACTCCTGCTGCTGCAGTAGGGTGAAAGAAAAAAAAAAGTGTTGGTAGACAGTTATTAGAAGTTTGCCATCCCTGACAACAACAACAAAAAAGTCAATCCCCAAGTCAAAAGTAATTTTCTTGAGGTTAGCATGACACTGCACTGGTGTCAAATGGAATAAAAACTGGTTAGATCACTCCTGATCCAGAGGCTGTATGCTGAAGATCTGTTAGAGAAGGTTTGAAAAATTTACCAGATACCTATTAATATGAGAACTCTCTCTGTTAAATCAGAGATAGATGCTAAATTCAAGTACAATGGAAAGGAGAAGTTTCACTGCAAGATTCAGGGGCTACAGATGTGAGGCCAGCCAGCCAGCACTGCTATTGGGAAGTGAAAGGGGCTTGTATTTCTATTAGACTATTGTCCCTGAACCCTGCTAGATGGTCATCATATTTCAGATCTGCATTTGGCTAAACAAAGACCTTGTAAAATTTGAAAATTCACTTCTGCTTAGCTCCTGGGAAAATTTTTCTGTCCCTTCCCCTCTCTAGTCTCTCCTGGCTTGTATGAAAGCGACTGAAAGGTGAGAGAGGAGGAAGCACACCATTACTCTACTGCTGCCTTCCCTGATATGATGATGTGGCTAAGTGAGGGGCATGCAGAAGTCACAGTGTAGTTGCCATCCTCATTTCACAACTAAACTTCCATTAAAAATAAATAAATAAACAAACAAACAAAACAAGTAAGGCCTCCTTTCTCACACCCTCAGCTTCCAAGAGGCAAATGGAAA